TGTTAACATTGCGTATTCTTGAAAAACAATAGAATGTTTAAAAGCGTTATCAGTAAATAAAATAAATGTTTAAAATTTTATAACATCTAATGATATTAGAATTTCGAATATCTGTGTAAAAATTAATGAGCAGAAAACGCCATTGCAAGCAAAATTGTGAGCAATCATATTTTCATCCTTAACTTTAATTGTGATATCTGCCAGAACTTCAGATATTTCTTTTCATATATATTATTTGTTGATTTGCTGTCCTCAACTTAATTCATATTTCCTGCCTTATTTTTTTTTTCATCTCTATTTCAAACCGCTTTTCACTATCTTCTAAGCGCTGTAAATTTATAATCATACAATTTTTGGTAAAAACATTCTGTAAATCAAAGTTAACCTTTAGGTTTTTGCTACTGTTGATTATTAAAACCTACATAAGAAATTATTTGAATTCCTTTAAATATCGCAAGCTCTTTCAACTGTTTGAATATATTCAACATTCAATTTATTAATGTCGTGGTTTTCTAATTTTCCAAAGGTCTTTCCAAAACTTTTTCCTGTCTAATGTAGGCTACTTATCTAATTTGTTTTCAAATATACATCATACCAATGGATTTTATATTTTGACATAATTACACAGCTCATAGGCGTAGCCAGGATTTTGTTTTGGGGGGGGGGTTCTAAAAACATTTTTTTACATAGTCCAAACTGTGGCAAACGCATAAATAGAGCAAGAAAGGAATAAAAATAGAAAAATGCTATCAAAATACAATTGTAAATATATTAAAAACTATTACTTTTTATTATAACTAAATTAATTATAACATGCAACTTAATTTTTTTGAAGGTATTTTCTTCAATCTGAATAAATCTAGCTGGTAATTTTTTAAAAATGGTTAAACACATTCCAATACTTTACATTACATTGTCATGTAAGCATCTTGGAGACAGAAATTCAACTAATTTTTGTATTAAACACGCTGGTCCATATTGATTTACTTAGTCCTTTCTCCTATTTCGTATAAAATGTTCAATATATAATTGATATACACTTTCTATCAACAATACGACCAACCGCTAAAACAATTTCTGCACGAAATACAGTAGTCGATATTTTGATATCACTTAATGAACAGTTCTCATTTACAATCAATTTTTGAAAAACTCCACATACTTTCAGCTTTCTGTAGGCATCTGTAAACATTAACTAGTGAGAAATAATTTTCAGTGAGTTCGCAGTCAGGGAATTGCTTCCAACGACAATACAAAAAAACAATTAATTCAAATGTAGAAAAAATAGCTATATTTTTCATGATTTATTTCATATAATAGTACATGATTTTATTTATTCTGTTAAAGAAGGTTTGAAGTATTTAACAAGAATGTAAACATAATTCATTTCATTATATAATGTAGAGAAAAGCTCATTAAATAACATCAAGCCTTATGGAGAAACATCTGAACAAAACTTACAAATAAGTGAACGAACGAACGAATGAATGAATGAACTTATGTATGTACTGAAAAAAAATTAATGAACGTCACAACAATTTATCAAATATTTTGTCATGATATTATAAATTAAATTTTCAATATTAAAATGCTTCCTATATCATTAATTAATTAATCATGAAGGAATTCAATCTCCGTTGATAAAAATTTATTATTTGAGCAAATTGCCAATAATTCAGTAACATTCCTCTCATTAGAACACTAACCGCTAATAACATCAGCTAACGTTACAAAGATACAGTTAATCATTTGAAATTAACTTTCAAAATACAATTATTGCTTTATTTAATATACGTTTTGGTCAACATAAAAGCGTGAATATAAATATTTATATATATATATATATATATATATATATATATATATATATATATATATATATATATATATATATATATATATATATATAATTATACATATGATTTGTACAGAGCATGTAAAAGAGAGGAAAACATGGTGACGAATGACTAAACTTATACGCATATTATAAAATTATATATATATATATATATATATATATATATATATAACTATGTATTCATATTAAGATTCATAGGGTACACAATGGAACTGGCACTTGAGAATAGAAATAAAATGATGGAACGTTTCGGCAACATCCGATCCAACAAACCTCGTTTAGCGTATAAATCCTCAAAATTCACCGACCTGAATCATTATTGATGTAATTTAACAAGACGACAGTTACGTAACGCCTAAAAATTTAACAAGGAATGTGATGCAAATTTTAAAAAGCGAAACACTGGATTGTCGAATTTTTTAAAGAAATTTGGACAGATTCAGACAAAACTTTCACAGTTTAACAGCTAAACAAGCCATGCACATGATATAAAACAATAAAAGTTTATAAATTAATAGAGAAATAAATAAACAAATAATGCAAATAACATTAGAAAGATACTTTCGGGATAGGTTAAACGAAACCTTTAAAGAGAGCCAACAATGCAAGAAACAGATCTGCATAGAGTAAAGGGGTTATTATATTTAACGAAAAGTATGCAGCCAGAAAATATTTAGGTAGTCTATTTGACGAAAAATACACGTTAAAAACCACACTTGAATGAAGTCGTACTAACAAAGTTATGGCGTCGAAATTAGACGAGCATTTCCACAAAAACTTTGATAGGGACAGAAAGGCACACATAAAAAATGAAAAGTATTCGCACACATACACACAGACGACAGCGATGCAACGTTTCACATAGCACGTTAAAATGACATATAAACAGTTAAAATACGACACGATTTCGTAGCAATGCTAACACTTGAACTTAAAGCTTGCAGAAAGTTATCAAGTAGTACCGACAATTAAGATATAAAAGGCGAAAAAAATTAATGAATACCTCTATGATGTATTTTTACTTTATGACGCATACCGTCTTTATCAATTCTATTAATTAAAATGCATGCATGGAAGATGTTTGCTTTAGTCTTTTACAAATGCAAAATAACACGGCACTGTTGCGTTTCGTGTACTATGCTGTTTTTATTGCGCCTAAATGTAATGGATGAGTGTTTCAATGCAAAATATGCCACGTGATATTTATTTATGCCATTTATGTATAAAAATCGAATTGCAAGATAACTATGTAGTAGAAAATTGAATTCTTTTTCTTAGTAAGTATACAACGGAATGAAAGTATTTTTTCAAATTCGTAAAGAAAATAGAAATTTAAACAAAGCGAACAGTCACCCATATTGTAAAGCTCATCACCTCCATTTGAAGAAAACTAAAAAATAAAATGTCAACGTAGCAACAATGATTGGTTCAATCCACAGATTGCCATCCGTGAGGTTTTTAAGAAAATAAATATTTTCATTTATTTACAAACTTTCTATGTTGTAGTTCTTTCCGTGGTCAGCTGGTACTACAAAGAGCTGTCTGTCATGTTAAGCAAGTGAAGCCAAAAAACAAACACAATTTGATAACTTCGAACATAACATAACATATTGTAATAATATAACATCTTTGTGAGTATGAACAAACAAAAGAACTAGTGGACACATGTGCAGTGCATATAAATTAACTACTTGATATCACTTGAAAGGTTAGTGACAAGTTCAAAAGGAAAAAATCATAACATAAACATCGGCATACGTAAAAAAAAACAAATTACTGAAATGACTCCATTTCAGACCATCATTCTAGACATTCTGGACACGACTTCAACAACAATTTTTATGACTCTTAACAAGGAATGAATAAAAACGAATAAGAAGAAAACATACATCTAAAACTAATCCTATTTACATCACCTCACCTCAACATCACCGTCAGACATACATAAAATCTTGGGACTAGATTTGTATAAAAAGAAATTTTCGTTAATTATATAACAACGGCTATGAACAAATTGGATAGAATGGCGTTAGTAAGTTTGCAAAAATTATTAGAACAATTAAATACAAAGCATCAAACTCGTCGTACAAGGGATGAGAAATAAATTTTAAAAAAGATTTTAAAACAAATACAGATTTATTTAATCATATGATTGTGATCAATAGAATTGTAATTATTATTATCATCATTATTAGTTAAAACACATTTATATTAATTATTCTCTATACAGAAAGTTGATTAGAAGCTAAAAGGACTTAATTGAAAGTAATTTAATAACATTTTAATTAAAATCTAACAATGTTTGAAAATATCATAATTAATCAATTAATTAATTAATAGAATGACTTATAATCTAATGACTGGTGATAAAACATTGATAAAATATGTCGAAAACCTGTACACATTTTAAATTGAAACGAAAATTATATTATAACAATTAATTAGAAATATCAATTGAACTACTTTTTGAAGAAAATTCTAAAAATATTATTCTTGAATTGAAATATAAAATTTAAAAGCATAAAAAAAAATAGATTATTCAACAGTTCGTACATCTAATCATGCAAAAAGTAGCAACACAAATGTAATTCTTGTAAAAAAAAAATAATTGATGTCAACAGAGAATTTGATAAAATACACTGATAGTTATAACAAATTAACTAAAAGGAACACCTTCAAAAATTATAAATAAATTGATTAATTTTGAATAAATAATAAATAAATGAAATAAGCAAACAAAGGATAAACAAATAAAGAAATATTTGATAAAATATAAATTGTAAATGATTTCATATACAGTCTTCTAGAGCATTAGGCTCTGATTGAGCAATTGAAAATTGTAATTAGTTGAAGAAGATTAGTGGTTGGTTGGTTGCACTTGCAGAAATTATAAAATCAGCAAGATAAATTGTTGTGGCAATTCTTTTTATTGTAGTAGTGTTGTGGCTTTTGTGTTTCTGTGCTGTTGTGTTGCTGTATCTCATGAAGTACCATGCGTTCAGGAGCTTTCTGTAAATTTATATGGGAGAAATTAAATTTTAATCTAAAAACCATACCAAAAAATAATAAGAAAAAATTTCAACAAATTACCGTTGCCTAAACACAGTACCAAGTACCAACCTTTAACAGCATCATCAGACTTTCACCTCCCAGCAGCAGTAGCAGCGCTGGCAGCAGCAGCTGTGGCATCAACATCTTCAGAGTGTCTGCATTCTGATTTCAACTTGACGAACTCCTTGGCGACTTCATCATTGGACCTCTGCGAGAGAATTCTGAGAACCGTCCAGCCAGTCTCGTCAAGGTGGATGCATCTGGCAAGTGGCAGCCAGCAGGCACAACTCCCCTTCTCCACGAGGTCTCTCAGTTGGAGGACTGCAATTCCAATCAGTCTGTCTTCCCTGGCGAAGCAGTAGTCCTTGATGCAGATGTGCACTTCATAACAGTCTGGATCCGCCTCGTTGCCTAATATGCTGGTAACATTTCAACAGTTAATTATTGTTAAATATTCAATAATACAAAAATGTTAAATACATAAAATATGTATAGCAACTATTTTATTTAAATTAGTTGAAGATAGTTTTTTCTAAAATTATTTTATTGCAAGGTTTGAATTAAAGCACAAAAAACTATTCTGCATAGGTATAAAAATCTAGTACAGTATCTACATCTATGTAGAAAACGGCAAAAGCTTTCATAGCTAACTGATACATGTGTATATGCAGTCTAACATTATAGCAAAGTAACATAATAAAAAAAAGATACTATATGGAGCATAAAACTAATACTAACAACTGGAATGTCTCATTGAATGTCGGGGACCAGTTGTTACTTTTTGATTTCGTTGACTGCTTCCTCTTCTTGTTGTTTAGGTGCGGTCCAACTATGTAGACGTCAATGAATGGTCGGAACATGCTAGTTGTCTGCCATTTTATGTCATTTGCCGCCACAACTGTAATTGCATTTTAGAAAAATTATCATTTTCCACATCAGAAAATAAATAAAACATCAAAATGTCAAAAAAGAATAAACAAAATAAAATTTTTGGCCCTTTAAGCCGCATGAACGGAACAATACTTATTGCTATTATTACCTTTGATGGTGACTTTATGTTCGCCAGTGCCAGGGTGTGTGAAGAGATCCACCTGGATTGATACCTCACCCACAGATTCATCGCCCGCCATGTTCTTATCCGTTATCGTAACTGCAGTGTTTGTTTTCATTGCGTTTAGTGGTTGTCAGCTGGTTGATTGGTTGTTAGCTTTTTTGTAGCTGTTACTAAGCACATTAGCGTGCGCTTTTGTATAGTTTGCTTTGATACCATTGTTTTTTTATCATACATTCAAAAAAAATTTTTTGTTAGACTGAAAATCTAAAAATTTAGTTAAGAAAAAAATGCTTATAATAAGCAGAAATGTGATTGTACATACTTTGACTGGTTTGTGTTTGAACGAATGTTTTAATAAGGGAATCAGTTGTCTGTGTGTAGAGAGACAGTGCATAACGAAGTGACAACAGCTCAGGACTCTTGTCGAGGAATGTTTTCTTCAATCCATTACCTCCCGCGTGGAAGTACTGCTTGATGGTGTCGAGTGCCATGTCCAGGACTGCACACTGTTTCGGTGACATGTTCGTTATTTTCGACCCTTCCATGTCTTTTGAAATATCCTGGTGTCAATGAGAAAAATCAAACCACATTCAAATCTAGAAAATTGACCTGAAATCTTCAAATAGATTCAGCGTCAGCAAAATAGATACCAGTTGAATTTACTAACAGCCAATTTCTTGCTGATATCGGCAAAGGGTTGACCAGACCCAGTTGTGACTTGTTGCAAGAAGGATGTGGACATCTTGCCGGGCAGTTGACTGACATTTGTTAACAACACCCGAGATACATCTTCTATCTTCGCCTGTGCGTTACTTGGCAATGGAAAGATCTGGCAGGAAGAAACTTTAAAATTAACTACTACATCTAATAAATTTGCTCTTATCAATATTTAAAACCTATAATAGATTTAGAATAAACATAACTTTGGAATACAATATTTTTTGATCCTACTACTTGCAACGTTTGTTTGTAACATATTTAAGCTTTGTTACAACCGAATTCAATCGAAAAAGTTACAGCCAGCTAGAAATTGAATTAAGATGAATAGGTTGCAGCCAGCTAGTCAACTGCAATGAATTTAAATAAAAAAGGTTCACCTGTCTTGGGTCAGTGAGTGGAGGGAGTACCACAGTCTTTTCTAACGTTGTCATCACAATCTTCCATAATTCCTTATCATGAAATTTAATTTGAAAATGCATTTTGAACTGTTCCGCAAATTTAATTCGTTTCATCAACAGAATAAAAAACTGAATAGAATCTACCTTAAGAAGTCTTTTTAATACTGTTTTCTCACAGACTTGCGCAAATTTTGTCAAACTGAAATTTAAAAAATTTACATTCGAAAGACCAATCTAACATTTTGATGAAATAACCAACTTACTTTTTATCTACCTTGACAAAAAAAAGATGAAATGAAAAAATAAATAGCTGAGACCAACCAACCTTCCATCAAGGAAGTCCATGAGAGGTCTGAGGATGGCATCAGACTCTTGCTGAATGATGTTTCTCTGGCTTGGTTGGGAGAGGGAGACCTGGTTCGATCCACTGACCTTCGCCATCAAACTACCAAGCTCCTGGATGCTCTGCTTGATCTGACCTATCAGGCTGAAAAAAAAATTAATTATAATATCGTCATTGTCCTAATCATAATCAGTATTGCCACCATCACCACCATCAATCATATAAAAATCAGGTGACTTGAATCAAATCAACTTAGAAATTTATGATTTTATAATTTATGCAAAAAATAATGGTTCTGTCCTAAAAATGTTGTAAAACCTTGCAGCAAATATAGAACTCAGATCATCAAGCACTGTGTTGAGTTTTTGCTGCAGTTGATTCAAAACTGTAGCAGCTTCTGCATCCAACTAGTTTTTGAGGATAAAAGAAAGAAATTGATTTTCCTTTAAATCTAATAAATAAATAAAAAAAATTATAAATTGTCCGATGACTACAAATAATAATAAAAATAAATACATTAAAAATCATTCTCACCTTTTCACCGCCCATTGCCTCGAACATCTTTTCAAGTTGAACTCTTAATTGCTGGATGTTGTTCATCATAATGCAAGACTGTACGTTTTAACAGAAAGTTGAATGAATATTATTGCGTGTTACTGATAAAGAAAATCTACCAATCAATCAATTAATTAATACCACATAAGAGACAACAAATTTAACAAAAAGCAAACTAGATAACGAATATAGAGCAAAGTAATGTGATAACGACTATGGGAATGAAGAGACTTTTGAAACTAACAACATCATGCTTCGGAGTGTACTTCTCAAAATCTCTCCTTACTAACTCTGCATAGGCCAACAAAACTTTTTGAATGGTCTGCAGGGGTAAGTTATTCAGTAGTTGAAAATATTATTTTTTGATAAAATTGATGGCGCAAATCAGCAGAGGAAAATATATATAAACAGTTGTACTATTATTTTCTGCACTCAACTAAAAACTTGACGTATAACAAAAGAATCTATAAACTGAACAAAAATAAATAAGATTGCCTAACAAACCTTGGAGAATCTCTTCATGTACCTCTTGACAACGTCTGGATGAGGACATTCAAGCTTCTTGATGACGTCAAAACATTGGTTCAATTGTGTGAAGACGTCAGTAACGGAACAGGAAAACAAGGCATGCTCCGAAGCTTTCAGAAACTAATTGAAAGTATGAAGGTATTAAAATCAACATCATTAAATAATAAATAACTTTCAAATGGTGCCCAGTTAAACTTTCATTACTAAAATATTCTTTAAGTGTTAATTATCATTTAATGATTATTTGTAACTTCAACAGATAGTAAATACAATAAATGCTATAAAGCAAACAACAAAATTAAAAATTTATAACAATATAACATAAAAAAAAAACGCTCACTCCATCCTTTTTATCTCTCTCATACGCGCCGTGTAGATAATCCATGGATACGTCATCATTCTCATTCAACCACTGCATCACGAACGACTCAAACCATCTGCAGCGTCATTAAGAAGTCGTTAATTAGAAGTAAAAATCTATCAATTCATTCATTCATTCATTACGAAAAAATGAAATTTTCATTTTCATATCAATGACGATTCTACCCATAAAATTGAAAATTTAAATTTTCCCAAGCAATAAAGAAAAGTCAAAATTTAGAGTAAAGCATGGTTAACAACATGAGAAGTAATTTTTAAACAATTTAATAACAGGAAACTCTAAAAACAACTAAACACTCTTTGAGAAATTCAGGCAGATGTAAATTAAAAGAGAAGGAGAAATCTTACAGAGGATACTCGGGTACACTGCCTTTGTATGGAGTGACATCAGCAACATACTTGTTGTACAGCCACTTAACTTTGAAGTGCAGGTTCATGTACTCGGAACTCTTGCACAAACGTTCCTTCTCATGTTCTAGGTCAATGAATTAAAAAATTCAAACCAGATTAAAAGTTGAAAAATATAAAATTTGAATTAAATTTCAAACAAAGTCATCGGCGAAGCAACTGTTGTTAAATACATAAAATCCATGACAAAGTAACTGATAGAATAATAACTGATCATTTTAAAAACCTTCAAGAGCATATTTGATGTCCTGAGAGAAGAGACTCCACTGCATTGACGAACTCATCTGGCCGACATTCAACTCTTGCGGAAATCTGCATTTATTTCATCCACTTAATATTTTGCATCTCAATTTATTTACAACTCCAAAAATGATAAAAATGATTAGACAAATTTGTTTTCAATAAAATTATATAGCATCTTTAGATGGATTATAAAACAGAAATAAAACAATAAATAAAATAAATTGAACAAAATAGAGCAGAAAAAATTTGTTGAATACTGACTGATTAAGAACAGGAGTGTAGCTGTTCTTATCTTCTTCAATGACGGAGACAATGAGAGCAACCAGGTTGTGCCAGAACTGCAAACTCTTCGGACTGTTCGGTCCCTCGCTGCCCTCCACGACATTTTCGTGGTCAGTTTGAAATTCTCGCTGGTAGAGTTCGTAGCAGTTGTCGAAGAGGAACTGGTAGGTAGACTTCATGCATGCCTTCACACAGTCCTTCACTACGGTGCTGGCTCGTGGAGGACTTGAAAGCTCCTGCACCTGTTGCATTCATTCAACAGTGTGTAAGATTACATGAATTAAAACATAAATTATATGAATTATAGAACCACTAAGTGACATAATAATGTTCATCCGTTTGGTGACCAGGTTTAAATGTAAAAAGAATCATGACTATTATGTTCATTGCTGTAGGAAATGTTAAATGTGTCACAAGAATTTGTGATTAGCAACATTTAAACAGTCATAAATTTGAAATTATTACAGGCGCTATACAACTCTAGGACACAGAAAAACACTAAAAAATAGACTATTACCAATGTATTTACATTGTAAACTTTGAATAAAACAAGTATAACAATTATCACAAAGATTAATCATGTACATTTTACCTTCATCCTGAAGAATGTAATACTGGTTAAGAGGTCGACAGTCGATTTGAGATCCTGTAATCTAGCTGGATCAGATGCCGGGAAAGTATTCTGGAATGTGTAAGGACCATCATGACATATGCTCACACACAAAAACATAAACATGCAGACATAAATACACAGATGCACGCATCCAAATATGCTTAAAGCAAACATACAATGTGTTACTGATGCAAATATAACTGAACATACATTCAGATGTGTTGAGCCTAAAAACGATGCAATTTAAAGCATTTTATATGCTTTAGCTTCGAAAGTTGTTAAAACACTTACACAGACAGGTCAGACACACAGGTGAATAAAAAACATACATTCAAGAATTATGTTCAAACCCTGTAGACGGAAAGATCAATCCGAAGGGAGTTGTGCAGCTGGTCTAACAACTTCACAAATTTTTCTTTCTGTTTTCAAACGATAAGGTAAACAAAAATAGAGAAATAATTAATAATAATATTTTCAAATATTAAAAAACTATAAATTAATAAATGATTAATTATAATTAATATAAAAAAATATTTCGCAAAAAAATAAACAACACTTTGTCAGTGTAAAATGTAGCAAGTACTGTGACACATACATAAAAATAAACTGAATTTAGAAATAAGTAGGAAGGACTTAGAACAAAAACGTCACCCCGAAATTGGAAGCAGCAAATCTATCACTAGCAGAGACAGCAGTTGTGGCAGTGGTGTGTGCATAGAAGGCATTGATGTTGGCCAGCAAGGTACTCATAACGGCTGGTACTCCAGGGCACATGTACTTGGTTGACAGGCAGGAAAAATGCCTGTGCAGTAAGAGGTAGTAAGTAATTAGATTGTAAATATTATTATTTATAAAATATTTAAATAACAAAATTAATCATTTGATAAATATTTGATGGTTTTACACGTATTTAGAACTTACGTCATTGCTTGGTAGATGGATTCAATGCCATATCTCATTGCAAATTCGTCAATAATTTCTTGCGCTGGTTCTTCAAAGTAAATTTTCCAGGCTTCATCCTAGTGAATGATGTTGTACATGTACAGTGAAGTTAACAAAAACTATCATTATAATGATGAACGAACATCAACTGAAACAAATTAACTGAAAAACTTATCACATTCATAAAACATCAAATAGACAATGCACTTCCAGCAAAACATGACAAATTATAATAAATAATATCATCCAGTCATATAAAACTGATTACAATCGACTAATCACATCGAAAGACCAACCAAATAGCCACCGACAGTCCTACTAACCCCCTTAGCGTCTGGCAACTTGACCTGACCATTAGCCTGTTCGCAAAGGAAGTGGAAGAGATTTTCATGGAGGCATGTGTACTGGATGTGGTAGGGAGCCACCTTTTCCTCCCCCTTGATCTCGACACTTATGTGCATCCTTATGGCTCCCGACACTGCAGACTTATCTGTCCTCTTCTCTGTTTCAAATTATTAAAATGTAATAAAGAGATATATTTATTACAATTTAAACTCAACTACTTTAGAACTTTTTTAACACGCTTTGGATTTTATAAAAGCAGACTGTGAATAATTTCATTACACTTTTTAATTGAAGATAATTGTACAAATATTACGTACAAAATAATATATTAATCTGAAGCCATTATAAAATATCAAAAGTAGGAAAAGAAAAACTTCATCTGTCAGAACATAAAAATATTTGTGAACAATACAAGCAAGAAATTGCATGATATAGGTTTATGTATAAAAATGTGAAGGCATTTGCAATAACAGGAGGATGACGTATGGAAGAATAAATGCCAGTGCAGAATTTGTTGTTGCCATCAACATCGCCAGCCATTCATCCCATTCCATTCACGTTCACTCAAACCCACACAATTCTCAAATTGTAGCATCTGTTATTTTTAATTTATTTCTCCATACAACTTGCAGGAAGTTTTTTTTAAGAAAACAATCAACAAAATAAAAAAAATGTTGACGGCTAATAGTGCGCAATAAATTGAAATGTCTCATTAAGGTGCTGACATGTAAAGAGAAAAACGAAGAGAAAGAAGAAAAACGACAAAGAAAAATGAAGAAAAGGGAAAAAAGAGGATAAGAGAATAAAAGAGAAAGAGAGAGAGAAAGAAACTGAGAAAGTGATGTTTTAAAGAGCTTTCAACAAGCATATTTCTAGATACTTAATAAAATGTATTCACTTATATTTATTATGTAATAACAATCAATTGATAGACGACAGCGCTCATGATGATGGATGCATCAAATTGTACGAAGAAAAGATTAATGTCCCTTGCTATCTTATGTCTGTTATGTCATATTCTCATGTTATAGAATACGACGATGAAGACGACGATGAAGATGACGATGATGATGTCTTTTCAGATACATACAAAATTAGATAGAATGAACGATAATACCAAATAAATAATAAAGGATAATACCAAACATAATAATTAATAGATACAGAAACAAAACCGAAAAAATCTGAATTTAAAATATTAAAACTAGCGGGCAGGCTCGTAGGTAACCAACCTAAATTATACCAGACATCCATCTCTCCACTGAGTGTTCGAACCTCAATGATGGTCTGACCCAAAAAATCATCTGACTCCCTCGTGAACTTTGACCTTAATTTAGCTTTCAGGTCGTCGTCTTCATCCCTAAAGATGAACGTTTGAAAGGGAAGCATCAATCATCCGATCTAAAAGAAGTATGCATCCAATATAAAGAATGCTTCAAGTATCATGAATGTACATGTGTGCACTTTATTTTGTTATGTTAGGTGTGAATGGAGTTGGTGAAAATAATTTGAATATACGTAATGGGAATCATAAGATAAATGAAAAATGAAGATTAATTGAAACAATGGCTAGGTATTTGCGAAAAATAAAAGTTGAGAAAAGACACACATTGATAATAAACATTCAGTATGGAAATTTCAAAGTTTTTGCATTTTTAATGTACATACAAGACCTATAGAACTGAAGCATATACTGTCTACATTCGCGAAACAACACCATAAAATATTACAATTACGTAATAAAAAATAAACATCACCAGAATGCTATAACATTACAATTATATTGACAGTAAACATTGGAAATGTGAAATCCAGAAACACAGAATCGACATAAACATAGCCAGCTGTTGAGAAAAAATTATTAAAACAAATTGAAAGTAAAGAAACATAAAACTAACCAAACACGAACTTTTATTCTATCAGAAGAATTGTGGCATTCGCTATTTAAAAAATTAAACAAATTACATTTTATAACGATTCTGTGATTTTAATTATTTCATTGATAGAATTATGCGTAAAAATTACTACTTATCAATTTAACTCTTAATAATGAAGAAGAATATTTACATATTTATAAAATCATAAAATAAAACAGTTTAAAAAAGATTTAAGACAAATGAAAAAGTAAATCTAAGCTATGGCATTAATTAATTCAGAATAGAAATATATTTTTATTTTTAAGTAAAATTTTTTCCATTTAAATGAAATTAGAAAAAAGAAAAAGAGACCAAAAAACATTTTAACGCAACATGCAAGCTTCTAGGCACAAAATCAGACGTATTAGAGTATAAACATTTCGTGTTTTCATTTTAAAAAAACATAAAAAATGTACATGAAAGCAACCATTAACTTACAGCCAATAAAACTACAACTAAATTTTTTTAATTAAAATGTCAGTTTTTTTTATATTTCTTAAGATTAGCATTGTTGTTAATCATTTTAATAATGTATGGTGAAGCAAGAAATAAGGCAACCACCGTCAGCAAAATAATAATAAGGCTCATCCAGAAATTTTAGAGAAAAAAATTATTAAGTTAGAAAATATGTAAGAATTGGACAATTTCAAAGTACTACTAACAAATAAAACTTTTCATTCCACTCGGGATTGAGATCTTGGGGAACGGTTTTTGTTCTTTTCTTGACCTTTCCAACTTGGACAGTTACGTAGGGGTCGCTAGTTCCTGTCTTGTCTTTGCCAATCAATCCTTGAGCACATATCACTGAGAGGAAAAGAGACATTCACAAAAATTCCTTTCATAATTCTATTTATAATTATTATGAGTTACACTAAAAGATCTTCAAACATCTTACAATTTTAAAACAGAAATGGAACATCCTTTAAAAAGATGCAACAAGATATTTCCAGTGTAGGCAGAATGTTCAGCAATTTAAGTCATTTATGCAACAAGTTTGAAAAAAAACCAAGATGGCATATTCGATCATAATTATACAATACCAATTAAGACGTAGACGCGAGAGACAAACCAGTTATTGCAAGTTTGGCAGACCACTTGGAGGTACCGTCAAGCACCGATTGCTTCACTGATTTCATGTGACCGCCGTGAGATTTTTTGTCAATGTTGAAAACGTTCCTATGCAGTAAGGGTCAGCAGTGATGCATAAATCAACAATGATGATAAATGATGAAAATACAAAATAATTATAAATATTTGCAAACTTGATTTAAAATTAATTTTAAATAATTCAAATAATATACTTAACCATCAAATAAGCAGATTGTAAATCATCCATTAAATTTCAATGCAATAATTTCAATAAATCCACCACAAAAAGTTTATAAAAGAAAAAAACTGAAAAACATACAAAATAATAATAATATTCTTACAATATTCAAGCATAATTTAGAATAAGTTAACAAAGAAAATGAAGAGACACCACGAAACAAAAAAAAGACAAGAAGAATTTTATTTGTGCAATTATTTAGGGCCATCACTAAGAACGCAGCAAAATGCACAAACATGATAAGATTGAATATTTCAGGTTTATTATGTTCTCTAATTTTCATACGATCCTTCATTGCCATTATGATGTTGTTTGTCTTGTCGTCTGTTCCTTGCTTACAACTCTTCTCGGCAGCTCCTGTTGTGTTTGTCAGTTAGTTTAGTTAGCTTAGCATAATTTTTTCGCATTAAAAATAAAAGTGTCAACATAACATTAACAACAACACCAAGTGACGACATAAAGAAACAACAACAAAAGCACGAACTTTGCAGACAGTCAGCGTTTAACAGATCCTTGCACTTTTCATGGGTCTTCACCCCACATTCGGTGCACCTGACTCCCTGCCTGGCAAGACCCCACAACAACCCCTCACATTCAAAACAGTAAGTCGGTGACGTTGCCGTCCATACGATGAAATTGTGAGGTGTCGTACTCGAGATTGGGTAGATGAGGGCTTGCAGCGTTTTCTTGTAGACATGCATTTTCTAAAAAAAAGAATTTTCATTAAAATAATTAAATGAGAAATCTAAAAACCTGTACAAAATATCATCAATGTATAGATAAACCGGCTCACACATTGTGGTGTACGTCATTGGGCATATGCCTTCTTAGGTACATGATGGAGATGTGTGTGTGTGTGTGTGTGTGTGTGTGTGTGTGTGTGTGTGTGTGTGTGTATGTTATAGATTATTTAGATTATTAAAAACCAAAAACCCTAAAACCAAAGAAGTACAAATGCTACAGCCTTTGAATACTAAACAGAATCTCTCAAACTTTTATGAGGTGAAAATTTTTGAAATGAACATAAAAGAAAATGAAAAAAATAAAACAAATCTAACCAGTTCTTCATCATTGAGAGATTGTCTGGCAACAAGTGCTGAAGGCACACAGTTGGCTCTTTTTGTGGCTGCCATTGTCTTCAAAATCATCATCATTATCATTAATTTCATCATCATCATCATCATTATTATTATTAATTCCCCCTTAAATAATTCTCAGCATTAGCATTATAACCATCATCATAAAACTCCTCATTCTCATCATCTTCTTCGTCAGCATCATCATTAACGTTAAGAATATTGAACAAATTAAAAGCATGACCATCATTATCATTGTAGGCCATAAATAAATGTTATTAATTGACAAAAGAATTTATTTTAAATGAATGTCATCACTTAAAACTGGATGAAGAATTATTTCGTGCTTAAAACTCGATGCTTCATTTAAAATTTAAAGCAAAACATTTTAATATTGGACCAACGGCAAATATGTCCTGTTTAAAGCTAAAATATGACACTGGCAGTTTATTTGATGATCACCTCAATAGAATACCTATCTCAAATCATTTCTAATAAATTTTACACAGAGTATGAATAAATTCTACAAAAGATGAAACAACTAATTTATAGAAAACATGTTAAAAAATAAAAAAAGATGTCGTAAAAAAATCTTAACTATGTAAAAAGTTAACTCATTTTCTAATGAAACTGAACAAACATTATGAAAACTAAAATTCAGATTTTAAAAATTCTGATATATTTAATAAGAATCGCTTTTATTCAGAATCAATTAAGTCCGCTTACTTAAGCTTAACAACTTGGCATGCTAAAGGAACAAGCTAAAAAAAACTAAACTAAAATAAAGTACTAAAACTGATACAGTAGAGCAGAAATCTATCATTAAATTAATACAGAAATAATTAATATATATATATATATATATAAACTCAAAGTATGAATGAAAGGAATAATTGATTCAATAATTATATGACTGATAAATTAATTGCTCACTTTCATCACCTTTTCCATTTGATTGTTTGATAAATTTTCAAAAATAATTAAATTAATCAATTAGTTAAATAATTAAACTACAATAAATTTATATAAAAAAGTTTTTCAATTTTTCAAACAATCAAATTAATTAATATGTGGAATAATTAAAAATTTAAGAGGCAAATAATAAACAGATGAATAAAACAGTTGAATGATTTAATAATTCTCAACCAGAATCAAAAGAGCAAGCAATGCCATTATTTTAGAGCGTGTAACACTCGTGGATATAATGAAATTTAAAATCCATTAACGTACCTTAGCGTGAATGCAATTAAATTAACGTTAATGGCAGAAGTCATCAGAGCAAATTCCAAATTCAATTCTCAATAGAGTGTAAAATAATCATAACGAAAATGCATGCAAAGAAGTAATAATGGATACAATGATTGAGGTGATATTTAATAGCAATAACGGAGATGATGATTAAAATTACATCAAATATACATCTATAAAATCATTTTCTCAAGAGCGTTAAAAGTCAAAGACGTAACAAAGTGAATGATACAAAATACTAATTAATTACAAACAATAAAAACTAATTAGGAAAACAAAATACAGCTAAAGCTATCCAACAAGACAAATAAATGCTGGCACGACAAACAACAATGAAAAAAATTCTAAGACTAACCAAATCGCTGACAAGAGTCATGGATTTCCTTCGAGCCAGTTTTAACTCAGGCATGCTGTCAATGCTACTGTAGAAGTGATTGTGCTCTGAGGGTCTGTTGACAGTTGTGGTAGGAGAAGTGTTTAAGTTGTTGCTTGTTGATTTTGTTGCAGTCATTTATATTTTATCAAGGAAAAAAAATCAAAAAAAAACTGATAACTATCAACGATATCAACCAATCAATGATAAATGTATATCCATTCATCAATCATCTACAGAGAAACCAGTAAATTCATTTTGAAAAACATCAAAATTAAATTTAAAGCTGTACAAAATAATTTGTTTTACAAGAAACAGCAATTTAAAAAAATACATAAATATTGTAGTAGTAGTAGACTGAAATAAAATTAATGCTTTTCAGGCAAACAAAAACGTGAATGAACGAATGATTAGGTTGTACAGTAGCTGAGTTATTTATAGGAAGGTGTAATTAAAAATATGAGTGCTTCTATGTATGATTCAGTTTTGCATAATTAATTATATCTAATTGCCCAATGTAAATAATTGCACATCAGTACAAGCATTTATCTAATACCAATTATTTTCTAATAAAGATAAATTATTATTCAGAGTATGATAGAAAGGCCCTAACTTTACAAGTACATGAATACGCATAGATATGAAATACACACAGACAGACATACAGACATTATTCACTTCACATCAATAATTGTTTGCTCAGTTACAGTAACAATTAATTTAAAAAGAAATAACCTTCAGTTAATGAGTGTTTATAAGAAACAAGTGGAGTTGGTAGTGAGGCATAATACCACAACTTAGCAATGTCTCAACAATTTCACATGAATTATTATGTGGATTAATGAACAAAAAAAAAAAAAAAAACTCAATAAATCCTTTGCAAAAATGATAATTGCGATCCTGTAGTTTCTCATCAATCATTGTCTGTAAACCTGAGGTAATCAATCTCAATCATTTTCAGTGGTGATAACTTGTTTGCAAGATTATTTTCTTGGCTATTTTGGAAAAGTTTTAAAACTTAACAATGAGAAAAATGAACCTAACAAATAAACAGAGGTCTAAAAGAAATCGTAACATAAACAACAATTAACTGGCTTGTTCAGTCACAACTTTCTGGTTATAAAGCACAGGTTTTACAGGATGTTCTAACAACACACACATAAATTTGTCTATGTAATACTAGGACAGTATGTACACAAAGTGTTTACAAAGACATTCAGTGGCCTTATTATTTATACAAGCAGGGTGATGAATTTGGCAATATAATTTTTCCTCCTCCTGAAAATTTTGTATGGACACTCCTTAGGTAGTCAATATTTGCTACTTTTTCATTCAATTTTGTTTACTATTTTGTCAATTAATATTTTACAAAAAAAAATCATAAATTTTTTGAGTTGGCTGAGAAAACAGCATGCAAATTTCCACCCATCTACTTCAACTGACAGTTCATCAAAATGCTCACAACAGTTTCAACATTTGGAGCATTGTAATAATTTTCAGTATAAGGTAGAGTAAGACCACGTGCCTCAACAGCTATAATGTTGTGATTGTCTGCTATTTATAAGGTTGCACGATGTTTATATGCTGAGACTTCATTAAAAAATAAAAATTAGAAAAATATAATTTTCATTAATATGATATTTAGACAGAATTCAATCAATCAATCAATCAATTAGTTTATAAAGCGCTATTTCCGCGATGTTAAACAGCGCTCCTCAATAAATTTTGCAAACAGATGGGTCTTGAGATCTGCTCTGAACTTCGTAAATGATAGAGAAGAAGTCAGAGGATGTAGAGAGTTCCAGATTTAGCAAAAGATTGTTTAACACGAGTTAAGAAAAAGTGAGAATTAAAAAAAAGTTTGAAAAATAAAAAATATTGATCATTTAATATGCATAGAAAAACAAAGGAACTTTCCAAGAAATAATTAAGAATGCAGCAGACTGCACTGATGAAATAAATGATAAATTAGAAATAAATGAAAAATAGTATTTTCTTTCAAAACAGCTGAAAAAAGAAAATTAAAAAAATTAACGAAAGTCTCAGCTTGATAAAAATAAAACAAAATAAATGAAGGCAGGATGATTAAAACCAGATAAGAAAAGTAAAACGAATAAAAGAATAAAGAAAAACCAAATAAAATTCATCTGACCTGCCATTGAAAGGTCTCCTCAATCTGGGAACATCTCCATTTCCCAAGTGTTCCTGTGCAGAAAGTTATACATTTTCACATAGTAGTGAATTTTCATAAAAAAATACTCAAATATAATAATTAAATCTATAAGTAAATTGAATGTTTTCACTGTTCTTTGTTAAACGTTTTTACCTATATTTAATTGAAAAAATCATATCACATCATCACATCACATAATACAACATGAAATTGCACCACATATCTTGATATCCAACACTACGTATCCTGATATCCCATCACATCACATCTTATAAAACCACACTACATCCTATCATCATTAATTAAAAGATTTCAACCGATTTAAATCTAAAAAGCCTCAACAATTTTTTCTCATGCCATCATGTATAAGCCTAAATGACATATCACACACACACACACAGACACACATTGTTCTAAAAGGTCATAAACAAAATACATACATGCAGTAATTTTTACTGCTTCTAACTACCGAAAACCTAAAAAAAAATTCACGGAACCGTGGAAAAATACAAAAATTTACAAATTACTTAATGATTTATAAACATTTTGTGGTAATTCAAACTTGCTGAGTACTTTTAAAGCTAAAAAATGTAAAATTTTCACAATTTTTTAAGGACAAAGAAAGCAATAAGACTTGCATCTTGACATTGGTGCCATATTAATATGATTGATGTACAAGTGAGTCGCTTGAATAATTAAAAATCTACACAAACCAAGCACTAAGACCTATGAATAGTGACTGCTCAAGAAGAATATGTTATATTACCAGTGAAAGAAAAATGAAAAAAAATTTTAAAATCCCATTTTTTGACGAAAAATACACTGTTTTAACTATCAACGCCAATGAAATAATCATTACTATCAATTCTTTGTAGAACTATAAACTAGAAATTTCCATTGTGAGTTCTGTACGCTTGCAAGGAGGAGTGTTCAAGTTGATATAGCAAAGCGTGTGTGCTGGCACATTTCCTTTTAGACTTAACTCATTGAATGACTGTGCTTTGTTTTTATGGTGGAGATTTTTAAAACTATTTACTGAATATTTGAAACGTTTTCTAAAAATGAAATAATACATTACAACTGTTTTTTAAACTGTTATTTTTTATTAATCATATTTCAACCATAATTTTAATAAAAAAAGAAAACATTTTAAAATTAATTTGATGAACATATAATATTTTCTAAGCCAACAACTTTTAAATTAAAACACAACCAAAAAGTAAAACTAATTATTTGAAGAGAGAGGAGAAAAATCTAATTTGATGTTTCTTTCCCTGTTTAATACCAAAAAGCATCTTTTCATTATTAGTTTTTACACTGTAATACAAAATGCTAAATCTTCTTAATAGACAAAATCTTCCCCTAGAACGAAAAAACTCTGAGGAAAAAATTTTGATTAAAAAAACTCAGTTGAATGAACATCTGTTCAACCAACTTTAATTCAAACTAAATTCTTTCAAAGACACGCAGAAGAAAATCTAATAACACAACAACATGCATAGCAATTTATATCCAATAAATAAGCCTCCCAAGTGTGCATGAACGTGTACAATGCTTACAACAGTACATACGTGTTGTACAATCAATGTTCGTTACACAATAAGCACTGACAACGACTTATATGCCATTCTCATGTTTTTTTGTATTTTTTCTTTTTTTCTGAAAACCAAAATGTTTCTGTGAGGCTATTGTTGGTTTAATGGTTTATTTGCACAGTGTCATGGAATAAAAATCAATAGAAGTATGTATTTTGTACTGAGATAGAACACAGTTTTGGTATTAAATTATGAAATAAAAAGGACCATAATTTTTGCTGCAACAGTTTGAAAATTTATTTTTATATGTATGCTTTTTTGCGTGTACAATAAAGTAAATCAGCATTTCCTCCCATTCATTTACAGTGCATTCATTCTCAATTATAAAATAATGCTCAATTGGAAACATAAAAAAACCATTGCATCCACATAAGACATTTTCAAAGTATTTCACTATTTTGGACACATAATCTTGAAAAGTAATTATGAAACAACTCATAAAATTTTTCCAATGCAAGATGTTCATAGAAAACATCAGTAAATATCCTTAAAATTAACTTATGTTCATGTGATTATATTCACATTTAAATACAACTCAACGTAACTAATAGCAGACAGAACAATAAGCTTTCATTTTAATGCTATCATTCCCGGTTAAAAAATTTGTAGATGAAGATAAAACAAAAATGTATTAATTTCCTATTGACATATAACGCAACAACAACAACAACACACGTTTAGACGACATTTTCCCCGAGATCGGGGGTTGCCGTTTGGCTACCTATAATGAAACCATTGTCACTTCTGTCATCATAAGTAATTTATTTGGCTAATTTTTACGCAGGACGCCCTTCCTTACGCAACCACAGTTATAAGCGGTGGGCCTAGCCTTTGATGATCCAACATCACTCACAAGGCAGTGAGGGTCAGTTTAATGTCATAACCAGGACACTGACATATAACGCAAACATGACATTATAAATAAAAAAAAAACAAAGTTTTTATATAAAGCAATGAAATGAATTGAAAAGAAACAACTATCATAAGGTAATTGAAAGAAAGTTGAAGAAAAAACAAATCAAATGAAACTCACTGAATTATTGAGTGATGCACAAACCCTGCTGACTGCATCAATCCATCTAACTTTGGCTGGCGAGGAGACATCCTGACCCACGACAGACGACGTTAAGGATTTTGTATCCAAAACAGATGATGATGTAGTTGCTGCCGTAGTTGATGATGTCGTTGTGGAAGTGCCTGCGGATGACACAGTTGCCACAGATGGTGTGACTCTACCCTCATGAACAGTTGAAAGTGTAGCTGTTGCT